GGGAGAGAGTTTGGTGTGATTCAAGGATTCGAGGTGCGGTGGGTGACTCCTGCGGAGCTCCTGGAAATATCCCGAATCCTTTGGCGCGGCGGCACGCGGCTCCGTGTTGCCAGGCGGTCACAGGCCGGCCGGTAGGCACTTTCTTCTGAGCGCGCGCGCGAGAGCCGCCAGTGAAAGAACAGAAAGGGGAAAGAAGAGGAGGGGGGGGGGGTGAGTTTACCGAACTGTTCTCCGGGTGGTCATACGGGAGGAGGAGAGACTCGCGAGTGAGTGAGGCGGACCGGAAATACCGACCACGCAGTAGTCTGTGTGTGCAAAAGCTGCGGCAGAAACCGACAAAGTTCTGCGTAGTCTTCTGATCTCTCCTCCCAGTTGGCCCGCTGGAAGCCCCCCCACCTCACCCCCTTTCCCTCCTTTTACCTGCCCATGACGTCGCTGACAGGCGACGCGAGAGGCGCCCGCGCACGCGTGCACCTCCACGACGACGACCTTGCAGCCGATGTCGCGCGCCCCTCGGCCGCGTGCACCCCCACGACGTGTACCCGACAGAGTGACCCGCGCACGCGTGCACCTTCACGCGTCGACGGCCTTGTAGCCGCGATGTCGCGAACACCTCCCTGACGTATACTTGACGGTGTGCCCCGCGCACGCGAGCACCTCCACGTCGTCGTCGGCGTCCATGTCCGCCGCGGCCCCGCGCGGAGGCCGTGCTCGGCGTCGCCCCCCCCCCCTCCTCCCTCCGCGGCCGGGGCGCTGGCACCGAGCGGGACGTGGTCTTGAAGCTGCCCTGTCTAAGTCGCCGTCTGTTTTGTCGCTTTTTCAGATTCCGCTGATCGGGCGCCACACCTTACGCATCCACACACCCATTGCAGGTGAGTTTCCGACGGAAGCTATAAACGTTTTTCTTTTGTTTGTTTATTTCTTTTTCCCTTGAGGCGCCGCGACGATTTGCTTTGACGATCCGCCTCGCATTTGTTTGCTGTTTTGGTCGTGGTGTACGGAATGTAGGTCGTGGAGTTTTGCGTCTCGTTGGACCCGCGGCTGGGAGCGTCGTCCGCCCAGTGCGTCCGCCCCTAGCGCTTTGGGCTGCGACGGCGCGACGCTACGCGAGGCGAGACACGCGTGAGTCGCGCCCCGGTCAAGCGCCCCTCAGATGACGCGCCTACATTCTGTTGGCGGCGCGACGCACCGCGGGCCGTTGCGTTTCGGGGGGTCGACGTTCCTCGTCTCGTAGCAGCCCCCTCCACGGAAATAACTAAACCGGGATAACTAATTATTGAGCTGTGTCAGGCGCGTATTAAGGGGGGGTGCGGTGGGGGCGATCGCCCCCCCTGTGGGCCACTATATAGCCGCCTAAAGGTAGGCAATTTGACCTACAAAACCCCTGTATGTAGGCAACTTTCGATGCACCGCCCCCCATGTCCGCCCCCCCCTTAATACGCCACTGAGCTGTGTAGCTAACTAATTGGCTATCTCGTCCTTGGCTTTTAGTTTAGCTAAATAGCTAACCATTTTTGCCCGTGTTGTAGTCGTGTACACGGCCATATGACGTGTGCTTCTGAAGCAGCCGCAGCGTTACAGTCATACAAAACGCGCCAAAGTTTTTTATGATGGGAGTTTGCAAGAGCTTGTTTTCGCGGGATCCCCATTCTTACGGCGTCATGTATGTATATAATGTTAGGATTTCTCGGAGCCAGGTCAGAGAGCTGCGCTCCTCATGAAGAATGTTACCCTCGGGGATAACTTTCTTCCGAAGTCTTGTACCTACCTTCACCCAGGCAGCCAGGCGCACTATGGCAAGGACCACGCTGAAAAAGAAAAATCAGCAACTAAAAACGCACATTACTTTTTTTTGCTAAGCTTTCTTAAAGTAATTGCGCTAATTTTTTAAAATTATTTTTTAGAACATTATCCTTTATTGCCCCTTTTTTCCCATGATTGTCCGGATTGCTTGTGCTTGCTTGCGCTGCAGGTCGTACATCTCTCCTCCCGTCCTAGGTATAGGTCCCAATCGAATTGCCGCTGTGTGTGTGTGTGTGTGTGTGTGTGTGAGAGTGAGAGAGAGAGAGAGAGAAAGAGAGGGAGAGAGAGAGAGAGAGAGAGAGAGAGAGAGAGACAGACAGACAGACAGACAGACAGACAGACAGACAGACAGACAGACAGACAGACAGACAGAATGTGCGAGAGGGTCGCGCGGGCCGGAGGGGGTGGCCGGGGAGAAGGGACCCAAAGCCGGGGACGCCGCCCTCCCAAAAGTGACGACATGATTGGGCGAGGGCGGCGAGACTGATCCGCTGGCGGGGCCAGGGCGGCGGTAAACCTCCCCCCGCGTGGTGCACCAAACTGGGTTGGGAGCAGCAGTAACAAAAGAAGTTGACGCGTCACGTTAAGCTGTAAATTGAACTAAACGTAACCCGTTACGTTAAACGTCAAGCGTTGAGGGGGGGGGGGATCACAGTGCGTGGAAACATTGTCAAAGCCATGTCATTTCCTAGAGTTACCAGAATGCTAAGAATGGCGCTGTCATCAATATCAGACTAGGCTGGTAACTCTCTCATTTTCATGGAATCAAATAAATTAACAAACGCCGGTAATTTGGAGGCCCTCGAAATTTGTTTGAATGCCCACGACATTATGGGGTCCCCTCGTGAGGGAGACTCCCAAGTCGAAAGTCCTCGACTTGACAGTCATTCGGGGTCCGTTTCCTAAAGTATACACCAGTTGCCTGGGGAGGTAATGAGTTCGACGGGAGGGGTCTGTTTGTCCAGGGCGACCCGGGGCCGACCGGAGGGCAGCGCGCAGGGCCAAGGCCGCGTCTAGGCGGGCCCGGCCGGGGCCGGGCGGGCTGCCTTTTGGGCCGGTAGGGCCTAAGGGTCTGGGGCCCGGCGTCGCCG